GGATGGAGGTTGGAGGTGCTGAAGCTGAAGACGTTCACAGAGGGGAAGGGGTTGCTGCTCCAAATGCCAAAATCGGGGATGGCTGGCCTGAGGTTGCTGGGTCTCATAAATCCAGGGTAAGCTGGAGGCGACTGGCGAGTTGGTTGTGGCGATTTAAGGTTGAGGGCTCTGGATGGAGATCTTATTGGCCTAGAAATCATCAGATAATGGAAATGGGCTAGAGATAGAGCCGGAGAAAGGAAATCATGTTCCATTCAGTACATTGGTTATTACCACTTCATTTTCATCCATCATTCAGACAAGAGCATAGTTTTATTTTAAAGCAGAACTAGCTAGAACTCATGTCAGTTGACATATTGTCATGCTTCGATTTAGGTGTTCCTCAAAGAGGTATGATACATGATCGTGGAAAGGGAAGCATGAGATGAGATAAGAAGAGAAACACGAAAGTAAGGGGAAATGGAATTGAACATACAGGAAAAAAAAGGAACGACACAAGCATTCCACCAAATGCTAACCTAGAAAATGTGAAAAAAACGTTTTAAGTTTGGGTAGTGTTCCTAGTAGGACAGCTTATTTTACAGTTTCCTCCATACCTTTATGTTACACCAGTGGAGCTTTATCTTTCACATTTCACATTTAAATGAACTTCGTGACTAATCTTATTAAAAGCCATTAATTTTTGATTTTTTCTTTTTATTTCTCCACCCTTCTCATTTCTTTATTCATTCTCCTGATGATTTCTACTTCATGTCCAGATGTGTTAGACTAGCCCGGTTCGAAAATGATCGAACAATATCTTTCATACCTCCAGATGGATCTTTTGATCTCATGACCTACAGGCTAAGTACTCAGGTATGGTATTTGAGGCCTTGTGTTTTTATGTCTTCTTTGTTCAATCATAGATATATTTGTGTTTACACATAGCTCCCTCCATTCGAATTTAAGTTGCATGTTGCTGTTTATAATATTTGACTAAAGTTAATTTATTTGATAATTGGTATGGAATTTAAAAATAAACTTTACATATTAAATAACTACTTTAAAAGTTTTACAAAACAAGAGGTGATATGACTAAACTATTTATCAAACGAGTAACAAAAATGGGTAAACAAAGTGGTTAAAGTTTGACCATATGAATAGTGAACATGCAATTCAAATTGGGACACAGGGAGTAGTAAAATTACTAAAATAGTAGTAAAAATATCGACAGTGTTAAAAGGTCGTATTGGTCTTCCGCAAACAGGTTAAGCCTTTGCTATGGGTAGAAGCTCAAGTGGAAAGGCACTCTAGGAGCCGCATAGAATTTATGGTGAAAGCACGGAGCCAATTTAAAGAGCGCAGGTATGCTTATTATATCTAGTATGGGACGCAGATCCTATAAAGAGCTTCGTAACACCATATTCTACATTCTAGATGGCATCTATATTAAATACATGGTGCTATAACAATGCAATTGTTTTGTTTTCAGTACCGCAACAAATGTTGAAATTGAGTTACCTGTACCAATCGATGCTACTAATCCTAATGTCCGCACTTCCATGGGTTCTTCTACTTATGCTCCTGAAAAGGATGCATTGATTTGGAAAATAAAGTCTTTTCCAGGTGGTAAGGTAAGAACATCTATTGATATGTTGCTTCGATGTTAATATTGGCCTGTCTATTGCTTAGCTCAATAAATAACATGCATCTGAAAGTTCCTTGTTTTCTTTTTTAGGAATATATGCTGAGAGCAGAGTTTCGCCTTCCTAGTATTACCTCTGAGGAAGCAGCCCCTGAGAGAAAAGCTCCTATTAGAGTGAAGTTTGAAATACCATATTTTACCGTTTCAGGAATACAGGCAAGCCCTTCTTTTGCTAGACTCCAAAAAAATTGCAAAATAGGGGGGGGGGTTGTGTGGGGGTGGGGTGCTATGTTTTCTGTCAACTCTTTATTGTCAAGACCAATCATTGGTTAAAAGGAGAAATGCCCAATGGTACGATTACAATTTGGTTTTACAGTATCATTTTTGTCCCTCAACCTTGTAATGTATCAAAATGGTACTTGAAATCAAAGCAAATGTTATATTTATGATACCAAAGTAAATTATGATCAAATTTTTACCGAGTTGATAGCTGGAATGCAGTCATATATCACCTTAGGTTAAATGAAACCAATCATGTAGCAATGCCTTTTGCCACATATTGACTTTGACAGTCTTTTGTTTATTGGAAAAAGATGTGCCATAAGTCATTACATGACAATATTTTATGTAAATTTCCTTTTGTGGAACCTAATGTGCCATTTATGGTATATTCCCGCTATCAACTCAACAAAATGACTGGAATTCACCTTTTCAAAATGTAATGTGACGTTTGTAACAAGTGGTGTATCGTTGTGATACATTATAGTTGAGGTACTAAAATGGTGGAGTATATACCAAATAGTTACAGTTCCTTCTCAGCATTTTATCTTTGAAACAAACTCTTGATATGCACCTAAGTACTCCGTATATATTTTTTACATCCAAGTCCATGAAGCAAGGTTGTGTGTATGGGTTCGGAAAATAACATTTTCTTAATCATAATGATACATATAATCTAATGTACGCACACATGGTGAACTTCCAATCCATACACCCGAGCTGTATTTCTTCCGTAGTTGGAGCATCTAGTGCTCACAAGTCTCTTCCATGCTAATTTTATCAAGAAAAAAGTTTTCGGAACATTTTGGTACCAAAGGTAAACTAGACAATAACTATTTGTGCAGTGAGTGTCTCTATTTGCCTTTGGTGTCAAAAGTGCTGTCACAACTCAGAAGTGGGATTCCCCTAGCATTGCCCTTTTATTAATGGTCACAATTCGCACCCTATTATGATCTTTTCTCGTTGAACTGATATAATTATGGATTCCTTTTCTGTAGGTTCGATATTTGAAGATCATTGAAAAAAGTGGCTACCAGGCTCTTCCTTGGGTGAGATATATCACTATGGCCGGCGAATACGAGTTAAGACTCATGTAAAAACTTCTTCTATATGGTATATTTTTCTTCTCTAAATGTCACCAACCTATTTAAGTTTTTCCAAGGAAAATTCAGTAGCTGTGATGGTTTTGATGAGGCTATAATATCTTGTCTTGTAAGATTTTTTTTTCTCTTTTCATTTTCCACTTTGTGGTGATACCATGAAACAGCTGTTTCAAATGAGTTTCGTTTGCTTGAGTGACCTGCACAGTTTTGCTGGCCTTGGTTTTAGGGCGTGTTTGGCAAGCATCATGTAGCAGATGTCAATTTGTATTAGTAGTTTTGACTAGGAGTTTAACAGATTTTGAAAAAGATATTTTGTAAAATGCTAGTACAAAATAAATTAACATGCTAACAACAATTCCTTTTAGCCTTTTAAAATCATCTCTTTTCCCCAGCATATTCTTCAGAATTCTGATTTACCAGACATTTCAATTAGGATTTTTAGCATATTCTTATATTTAGGATCTAAGACTTTTGGCCGTATCGAGAATACAACCTTACAAAAGAGCATTTGGAAAATTAGGACTGGAGTAGTTGGGTAGGTGTTTCGTACTAGGTGGTAGTTTCCCAGTTGTTGCTTTGTGCTTTTTATGTTCGGTGTTTTCTGATGTGCGTTTCCTTCATTAATATTAGTTCTTTGCCTTTTTTTTTTTTGTATTCTGTGCTTTTGCTATTTTATGTCTTCTGTGAGGTTATGCTATTTTGCTATTTGTGTTACTTGAGTCGGGGGTTTCTTGGAAATAACTTTCCTACTTTCAAAAAGTGGAAATGTTTGCATACATACGCTCTCTCTAAACCTTATTCTCGTGGGATTCAACTTTATTAAACTGGGTTGTACCATCCAAAAGTGTTTGCGGTCGGAATTGTAAAAGAACATATTGCTTAACATTATTATGGCGATGAAGAAACATGCGCTTAATTTTTTAGTGCATGAGACTTTTATATCAAAGAAAGTTAACTTTAAAATTGAATCGGGAGTGACTGGTTTCCCCATCCTTTATTGAAATTTGTTTCAAACTTTACCGTTATGTAAGGCGCCTAAAATTAGGGGTGCAAAGTGCAATCAATGTATTCTTTTCGCTTCGGAAAAAAAATTCATTATTTTCTTTTTTGTCTGCCCCCAAACAACATAGGAGTAATTGTTTTTTGAAGAAAAGAATTAGTGGGGTACAACTTTTCCTCTAAATATCTTCCAATCAATGCTTTATTTTTTTAATATTTTTTTAAAATTTTGTAGAAATAAAACAATGAAGTTTTTATGGGACATAGGAAGTGCTCCGTATATAACATGAGAGAATTATTTAATTATGACTAAAACATGTGCTATATATAAAAATAAGACCTATAATGTCAAAGGTCAAAATATATATCATAAAAAAAGTATTGTGAAATGCTAGTATATACTCATTTAAAGTATTAATACTACTTCCGTCCCAGAATATTCGTCCAGCTTGACTTTTTTGAGTCAAACTGAACGAACTTTGAGTCTTAATTAAGTAAAAACTATAATGTATATTAGTATAAAAATGATTTTGATATATTAAGCTTATATAGAACTTTAAAAAATTTATTCCATTATATTAATATGCAATACAAATTAAGAGTAATTGATGATTAAAAATTTTTCAGTTTAATATGAAAAAGTCAAACGGAACGAATACTTTGGGACGGAAGGAGTAGTATTAGAGAATAAAAACATAGGTCTTATCTTAAAGGTTTAATCGTATTTAGATAGACTTCTTATATAACACTCCACTTGTCTCGCTATTTTTGACTATTTTAAATATTTCGCCCGTCCTATTCTCGTCTCAAATCATATTTGACTATGGAGTTAATTGGTATGCTTCACATTCATCTTTGGGTGCAATTCTTTTTACACTGAGCACTAAATTAACCACTCCTAACCCCAAAACTCCCACAGTCCCACCCCAGCTCCCCTCTCCATTTTGCCTTTTTGCTACATAATATTAAGGGGGAAAAATGTCAAATTTTGGTACTAATACACAGCAAATTTCACTAAATAAAAAAGAAAAAATAGCACATGTGATGAATCAACATTTCAGCAACCCTTGGTTCTTTTGAGGAAGCATTCTATTTATCACATCCAAAGTATGAGTTACAAAATGAGCCAATACATACAGAGCATTAAACGATGTGTGTGCCCATTCGGGTAGTCTGCGGTCAATGAATCATCCGTACAAACATTCCAAATTTTTTTCTTCAACAAACCTAATGGGTCTTCTCTATCTATGAATTGAGAAGGAATCAATCAAAGGGGGAATGCTTAGTTGACACCACCTTCACACACATACCTAAGTTTAAAAACACATGGTGTCAAACTCTGATGTCATTATTTGGGTCACACATACAGACATGACATGCCATGTGTTTCATAGAGACATGCATGCATGTCTGTGAAACACACGGTGTCATACTCTGGTGTTACCCTTTCATGCATTGTCTATGCTGGTCTGTGAGTAGGGTGGTGTCACCTTTGGTGTCAGGATAGCATATTTCGTCGATCAAAAGAGGGCAGAGGAAAGAAGAAGAAGAAGAAGACAGAATTCTAACACAACAACAAATTACTACTACATGATATCTCCATTGACCGTACTGCTCTTCGGCTTTGCAGAGCTACCTACCTAGAGGCTGGCCTGGTCAGGGAGGGTTGGAAGTTTCCTAAAGACGTGCTTCCTGCAGCGCTCAAATATGCTGTCGTATATCACATCAAATTGAACTCCCGCTCTTTCGCGATTCACAATGAAAAGAATGTGATCCCCTTCCACTATCTTATAATACCTGTATTTTATTAACGTGTGTCTGATCAGTACACAAACCATAATAATTGCATCGAATCAATATGTGCAAGGAGCGAATGGCGTATACTCCCTCCATTCCATATTAACTGTCATTTATGACTTTCTTGGTACATTGAAACATATATGAATGTAGACACACTTTATGTCTACATTCATTCATTTTTCAATGTACCAAGAAAGTCATAAAGGACAATTAATATGGAATGGAGGGAGTCGAACACTTGCACATACCAGATGCCTGGTTGCAATGGCTGGCAGTCAGAATCCGCAACAACATTATGACTTGGATGTTCAACGGGCAATCGTGGGTGAGTCATGGATATAGTGTTTAGTGCTCCGTCATTGTCCCACCAGTCCTCATCCCTGTGTACACGATATAACAAGTAAAAGGAATGTCATAAGCTATTTGCATCATTGGAAATCTAAGCCCAGTCACAAAACTCAGCCAAGATAGGACCCACCGAGGAGCTAAGTGTTTAAGAAAAATGTCCGAATTCATTTCATATATTGGCAAAGATTGACCATGAGTCCCAAAGTTCTCTACTTCTCTATGACAGATCTCATTAAAAAGGAAATATAGTGGGAGCTTTGGAAAGAGCTATTACAAATCCCACACAGCTTTCAAAATTTAGTAAGGTACAACCTACTATAAATGATTAATTATAGCTATATTGTTTGCCACTTTATATCATAAAAACAGTATATATCATGAAAACTACTATGTCCATTCTTTTCTAATTAACCATTATGACTTTTGTCTTACATTAATAAGCTGAATGAATATGGGCATTTATGATGTCTACATTCATTCATTTTTAAATATATCAAGAAAGTCATACTGGTTACTTAAAATAGAACGGAGATAGCAGCTTTTTTATTCAAAAAATGGCTCTTTTTTTTTGGGACAATCACGGACTCTTATATGACAAACGCGCACCTGTAACCTTTGTAAGGTGGGGTGACATCAGCAGGATGTCGCCATATGCACATCTGGAGTACTCTGATAAACAGTAGAGGATGTATTCCAAGTAAGCCAGAAGGCACTGTAAACCCCATGAGTTTTTTTGTGCGCTGTGTGGCATAGCTGAAGTAGTATGCGTTGGGAAATGTGTGCAAGTGGCTGTTCAGTCTGATAGCACCCTGGATCGTAAGGTCTGGAAGTATCCAGTCCCCTGAAGCAAACGGGCCCGCATTTCCTAAAAGGCAATCGACGAAACCCCAAATGCCACTTTCCTTCCAAGACATGTTGAAATGATCAAACCCAAAATTGTAGTAGGCCTTCAGCCATGGTATGTCAAACCAATCATAGATTATCACTCCAATGCGGCAAAGCTGGAGCAGCGAGATGTGTTTCAAAGATCTCCCATCTTCCGGCCTGTTCACAAATGAAGCTGTATGACAATATGTAAAATGGTTTTCACAAGACTACTTGCGCGGTAAAATTTCACAAGCCAAACATAGTAGTTCTATCTTCAAAATGCTATTTAATATGTCAATGTGAACTGTGAAGTATAGTACTCCCTCCCTCCCAATTTAAATTGCTTGTTTCGGTTTGCGATGTTTGACGAAAGTTATTTTCAAGACAAATTATTTGAGAATTGGAATAGCATAAAAAAAATAAAATTTACGTATTTAAAAACTATACCAAAAGTTCTATGAAATAAGAGGTAACATGACTATATTATTTTATTAAATGACTAACGAAAATGGAGAAAAAAAGTGAATGAAGTTTGAGCATGTGATGAACTTTGACCATTAATTAAATAAAATTAATAATAGATATTGATACAAGAATAATTTTATAAGATCTCTTGTAAAACATTTTCAAAATATTATTTTATCTAATCAAAATACAATTTTTTTTATTTAATTCTAGGTCAAAGATCGATCCTGGTTGAATGCAAAAAGTCAAAACCATATAGGAGGGAGTATAAGCCATGTTACACAAAGCAAGACACATAGCAACAAGGTAACAAATGATACTCCCTCCGTCCCACTCTCTTTGTCCACTTACCTTTTAGCACACCATCCAATGCACTTCTTTAATCCATTTTACTCCGTATCTTGTAATTTGTATATTAAAAAATTATAGAAATTATATATTAATAATCTATATGTTAAGACAAATCAAACAAGGTCACACATGACTATATTTAGGCTTACACATTGAGAGAATTTGATGAATCAAAGTGCTTAGATGAACAGTTCCAAAAGTCAAAAGTGGACAAAGAGAGTGGGACGAAGGTAGTATTAAGTAACATCAATCAAATACTCACTGCATTCCATCATAGTAAGTTCTTGTTGTGCCATTAAAAGCGCCAGATAATGATGTTATGCTTAGCACCCAATTCTCTGAAGTGTTTCCATGCCCCTTGAATGCCTACGTGAAATTAAAATAACTCTTAGTCAGTTGAATAACATGATGTTTAAAGGGCATCCTTGTAGGCCAAGAATTGATCCTATAGAGGCAAACCTTGTCAGCGAGCATTTGCTGCAGAACACGAGCAACTTGCGCTCCAGCAGAATGCCCAACAAGATGAATTGGATGATCCTCATCCCACTCAGGATAATGTCCTGAAATCCAAAGCGGCCATGAAATAAACAAAAAGGGAATAGAGCAATCAGTTGAATGCATCACAAGAGCCAATATATCTCAAAACTCCAACCTTGCTCATAAGTTCTTCCGAATTGAGAATGGCCACACGCCTTGCTGTGCTCTTCCCCATAATCAACCTGACCTCCTTTCAAATAGTAAAACAATTCCCGTGCCCTGCGACCTTAACCCTATCAGAAAGTTGGGAAATAGCACCCACAACACACAACTAAATACCCTAACAAAATCCAGATTGATCTCTCTTTTGTTTTTGGGTGAACTGAGGATATGTTTAAGGAAATGCAGATTGATTCCTCAGTTTTAAGGACTTCTGCCTCTATAGTACCCACCTATCATAAACACTAGTCAACGAACCCAAATCCGGAACGAGAACCCTTTCATCTTTCTTCTCTGCTCCTGCAAAATAAGATAACCCACCCAATCTCTACAGCAAATTGAAGAGCCCAGATTCACCCAAAAACAAAAACTCAAATCAATAATATATATATAAGGTAAATGAAAAAAATCACAATCCTACAAACACGAAACAAAAAAGGAAGGAATAAATATATTACCCCTTTGCCAAAACCAAAGATTCCATGTACCAACACAATGGGAGGCAAATCTGTGACGCTGGAGATCTTGTTTGGCTCATCTGCCTTCAACCCATTCTCCAGATTGGGCTTGAAGAACCAATCACTCAACCCCAGAGAGAGATCACCGGCCACAGCGGTGCTGAATATATAAAAGCCGTACACCAAATGAACCACAGAGGTTACAAAAAGCTCCGCCAATTGCAGTGATGCAATCCACCATCTTATCATTTTCATCGAAGTTTCGCCAAGGAAAGATTTATAATCCCAGAAAGCCTTCTTCTAAAACAGATGAGAAGAAGAAGAAGAAGGCTAGTTGGGATTTAAAAAAACAAAACAAAAAACTCTCAATCCGTCAGCAGAAAATGAATTGAAGAAAGGATCCTCAAGTTCCGATTCCTCAACGGGTCCCGACAGAATGAGAAAAAGGCGAGGAATCTGTGACCGCTTTCAATGATCTCAAATGGAGTGGTTCGTTTGCTTCTGCGGATGGTCGTACAGAGGAAGAAGAAGGGGGGAAAAATGCGATCTTTCCACAATTTTCTCGTTGCTCAGCATTACGGAACACAACTTGACCAATTGCCAACTACTGCTGTACCTTTTAATTTAATGGATAAACTCCTCTCTTTCCAACATTGATGACAACGTTTTTCTTGTTTCTTTTGGGCAACTTTTGTTCATTTATGAATTTTTGTTAATTACTCCGTGTTTCATAAAATAAAAATATTCGTGTCATCTATTGTTTTGTAGAATCTTTTACATAATTTTACATAATTTTTTATTTGTAAGTTTTTATTTTTTATTTCTATATTATTTTTTAATTAAAATAATTTCGAAAACTTAGAATTTTACTTTGTAATGCAAAAAATATAATCTAATTTGAGACGGAAGAAACATATATCGTATAGGGAGTATTTAGAATAAAAATGAGAGCTGACTTTTTTATATGTATTGTTACTCCATCCATTTTATCTTATGTTGTACCCAACATCTTTTTTGATATTTTAAATGAATATCATTCTTCTTTCTAAAAATTTTAAATTTTTAATAAATCAAACTTCAATAAAGTAATGAATAACACTTGGGTTTACCAAGCAGTGGTTGTACAGTTGGCAGTGCCGAGCTGTGGTGACATTGAGGTCATGAGTTCAAACCCCAGTACCAATTGGGAAACTTTCGGCCTTATTGGTAAACCCCGATCAATCGAGATTAGTTAGATTTTTTCATAGACAGGTCCAGAATACCACTAGTCTAACAAAAAGTAATACTTGGGTTTGAATTTGATTTTAGTTATCATGTGCAAGAGTTGTGCTAATAGGTCATAAAGTCCACAAGTGAAGAGTAGATATTTTCACATATTTTTCATTAGCTCATAATTAGACGGCTTTCTTTTTACAAGGCTTATTACATGTAATCATTTTATGTATTAAGGCCTTAAAGTTAGTATGGACATAAGGACCATAAAAAATTGTCCATTCATTAAGGATTGCAATGTTGCTTTCACTTGTCAAAGAATAGGTGGTGAGTACACGTGGACCGCAGGACACGCTTTTATTATGTGGCTTGAGTTATGATTTAACTAAATAATTGATCATAACCTTATAAATACCCTACGTATTTAACTGATAATTGTTCGATGGATGTACTAATCCTTATGACCTAATTAGAGTTTTCCCTTGGATGTATATATAAAGAGGTCATTAGGCAGAGGTTAACACATCAATCTTACGCATCTCCTCTACGAGTATTATTCTCACCTTAATCATCATAACAATACATCCTAAATGGGAAGTCGGTCTGTATCAAAATCATGAGCTCATCCACAACTACGTTCACACGATTATCATCCACAACTATTTTTCCTTATTTATTAATTTATTTTACTAAGAATAGCAAACTAAGTAAGGAATATGCTTAAAATATCATAAAATTCAAAATTTTACTTATTCGGAAATCTTTGTATTTTATGTTGTTATAGGTGATTTTTGAAATAATATTAATCTAATTGGGTCCCCGCCTAATCTTTTAGTGTTAATAAATTATTCAGTTGTGTGAAAACCTTAAATATTAATTGGTTTGCAAAACAATAAGCCTATAAATCATTTAACTAATTTTAAAAAATTTATTTTATATTAATTAAATTGATTTATTCTGCTTGGCTTGAATAATACTTTAGAGTACACTTCTCCCAAAGTGACGTGTAATATTTGTAAAATTTGTTCAAGTCTAATTAATCATTGTCATTTAGTACATATCCTTAAATAGATATTCACATGACATTCGCCTTAAATACATAACATTTCACTTCTGTCAAAATATGATGTGTTATAATTGTGTGCTGCGAACTAAATACTCATGTGCATTAAAATTTAGATTTTCACTTCTGCCCCAAGGTGATATGTTACATTCAAATTACACATTATAATTTTATTATTCATTATACTTAAATAATTGATCATAACCAAAGTGAAAGTTGTTTATTTAAGTGGAATTAAATTAGGCTTCGTTCTCTTCGGCAGATCTAATCTAATCTGAACTGAATTCTTTAAGGCTAGTCTAATCTAATCTAAATAAAGCTGATATAAATGGATCTGATCTGTTCTGAATAAATATGATCTGATCTAATCTAAATAGATGTGATCTGAATGGATTTAAGTCAAGTTCAAATAATTAGAGTAATAATAACATTTATAACATTTATAATAATAATACTCCCTCCGTCCCATTTTATAACGCCTGTACCGGTTTACGATGTTTGACTGAAATTATTTTCAAATCATTTTATACGACAAATGGTATAGAGTTAAAAAATAAAAATTACATATTAAAATACTACATCAAAAGATCTACAAAACTAGTAGTGACAATAGTATTTTATTTTATCAAATTGCTAATGAAAATAGAGAAAGAAAGTGAATGAAGTTTGACCCTGTGAATAGTGAACGTGCATTATAATTTGAGACGGAGGGAGTAATTTATTATTAATTATTGTTAAAACTATAATAATTTTATTATTAATCATTATAATTGTAATTATTAATTAATAATAATATTATTATTATAACTTTTATTTTAATAATTGTAATTATTTTTATTATAATATATTATTATTATGAATATTACCTGTTATTATTAATTGTGATTGTTATCATTGTTAATTATAATTAAATTAATAATAATTATTTTCAAATTATATAGTTATTATTAACAATAACTATTGTTATTATTATACTTACAAATAAATATTATTAATTGTCATTATCATTATTATTAATTATTATTACTTAATAACAATAATGACTATTATCATTTTAATCATTATTGTTAATTACTATTACTGTTATATTTAAGTAAGATGGCAATAAATTATTATTAATTATTATCATTTATAATTATTTTTATTATTATTTATAATTATTTTTCTTATTAATAATTAATAATGAGAATAATATTAATTACGATTATTATTGTAATTATAATTTTTATTTTAGTTATTGCTATTATCAATTACTAGTACTATTATTATTAAGTACCATGATAATAAATTTTTATTATTTTTATTATTATTCATCATTATTATTATTACTACATCCGTCCCACTATACTCGTCCACTTTTAACTTTTGGAACTGTTCATCTAAGCACTTTGACTCATCAAATTCTCTCAATGTGTAAGCCTAAATATAGTCATGTGTGATCTTGTTTGATTTGTCTTAACATATAGATTATTAATATATAATTTCTATAATTTTTTAATATACAAATTACAAGATAAAATAGATTAAAGAAGTGCATTGGATGGTGTGTAAAAAAGAAAGTGGACAAATACTCTGGGACGGAGGGAGTAAAAAATAATATAACAATAATTAATATTTTTATTAATTTTATTTTTATTATTATGATTTCAAAATTATTTATTTTTTAAATTATTTTTATTTTAGAATAGATTTGATTTGATTCGATATAGTCTGATTAAAAAAAGAATAAACAATAAGTAGCAGAAATAAGTTGAAGAAACCCGGATCTTAGTCTATTATTTTTAGTGTTATAATAGACTTTTATCATATCTTCATTGAAAATAATAGTTTGGTGCATGTCGTTTTAACACTAAATAATAAAACTAAACTAACCCATAGATATGACAAGTTCAGGTTGATCTCACAGAAAGGCAAAAGTTAACTACTAATTCTTAGATTCTTTTCTTATTTTAGAAAAAGATATAAAGCTAAGTAAAACTAGAAACAAAAAATAAAGTTTAAAAGCAAATCAAGCAACTAATAGAGATTTGAAAGAATTTGAATAAAATGATTCCAATCCCAAGTATAAATTGGTGAATTTCATTCGATCATTGATACAAAAGATACTCCCTCAGATTCAAAAAATTTTTCTTGCTTTGACTTTTTTAGTTAAACAGTAACATTCTTTGATCAGAAATTATAAGCAAACTATATTGAATTATAATATAAATTTAACATATTTGGGTATAGTTTTAGGATATAGTTTTGATATATCAAATTTTTATGACATTTATCTATTTAGATATTAAAATCTGCATCATATTTTGTTCTGAATGTGGGTTAGATTATGTATGTGTATCATATTCCTTTTGTCCCATAAAATTCTTTACAGTTTGACTTTCACAAAGTTAAAGAAACATATTGAAAAGTAAAAATGTAAGATAGAAACTTGTTTAGATGAGAGAAAAGGAATATGAATCACATATTCATTAATCATTACTAAAATAAGAAATAAGTAAAGGGTAAAGTTTCTCTTTGGACGTTCAAAAAATATGCAAAAAATTTTTAGACGGAGAAGAATGTGGTCTACAACACAAGATACATATCATGATTTGGGCTCGAACCGACCCATAATATTTTATATTTATGCTTCTTATGTTTGTATGCATATGGTACACCCGATTGTACCTATATTTGGGTACAACTGGGTCATAAAACGAAGCTAAGCGCGTGATTGGAAACGAAGAGCACGACAAACTTTAGCTTCAACCTTCATTGATTAGAGAACAATCGTAATACCCAATCAAGGAGACAAGATAATGGTGCTGGAGAAGAACTGCGTCAATCAAAGGGAGACAAAACTAGCGTAGAGTTACATCGTTTGAAGGGAAGTGCACGACAGTGACCTCGGCCCTATCGATAATGATGAATTGGAGATGGTGACCAAGGTGGATTTGAAAGTGACGATGGAGAAGGCCTCCTCTGTGTTTAAAAGCCAAGGCTTGGAATGAACACTATGGTGCTTTAGAATGAATATTACGTTGTTTGAGAATGAACACCATATTAGTTCAAAATGGTATTTTATACGGAACACTTCGTTATTCGTAAATAAATATTATAATTATAATTAACATATGTGTGAAAATGAATACTATAATGATTTAAAATAAATATTTACCAGGTATACCTAGCTCTAGGTACACCTGGTTGTATAATATTCGTGCTCATGTTTGTGTGATGCTTATTAGAAGTAATAAATATATCTATAGCAGAATGCTAATGATTGGAACTAAAAATTTACACATTAAACTAAAGAAGGTTAACAAATAGTTCCTCTCTCT